TGTTATACACAAACAATGAATCATGGAACACTACATCAAAAACTAATGATGTAATGTATGGTGATTAACATAACAATAAAAAAATTTAAAAAAAAAGAGTATTTTCCCCAAACACCTAATTCCACAACCCAGTTACAGACAGGAGTCCTGCCCCTGCTACTTCCCTTTGCAGGGGGATACCTATGACCCCAATCATCTCCTTCTTTATCACTATTACCCAAAAACACCTTTGAAAAAATAATGCCACTGTCACACTTTTAAACTTCCACACTGCCTTTTTTGCTTTCCATCTTCCATTTCTCCTTGATAACTAAAAATGATGTCTATACTTCTAGTTTCATTTTCTCACATCTACCAAATTTTTACTTTTTATTTTTCAAAGATAAACATGTCAGAGTATATCAGTTTATACCTTATAAACATACAAGAGTAAGAAAAGTATTTCTACGCACTTACCTCAAGTACTGGTCCAGCTCCAAGAATAATTTGTTCCACTCCACTGGCAAATCCCTTCTGACTGAGAGCAGTAAGGTGGTGAATAAGAAAGTTTGTGCTTTGAGTCTTCCCAGAACCACTCTCTCCTGAAATCACGATGCACTGATTCTTTTTGCGCTGAAGCATGGCATGATAAGCTACATCAGCCACAGCATAAATGTGGGGCTCCAGTTTTCCCAATTGGTGGTTATCATACATTTTGACATATTTGGGATTATAAATAGGAAGAAACTTGAATGGGTTAATAACTATTAGAATACTGCCAACATAGGTATAAATTTTTTCATGCTTAAAGCGATTTCGTAGGTTTTCTAAAAGCGTTTTCTCATTCAAATCAGGTAAGCTACATAAATCATCAAAGTCTTTCTGTTGAGGCTGTGGAAGAAAACCCCGTTCCATCATCCTTCGGCGTTCTTCTGTTACCCGTAGCCATGACTGCAGACTACCATAATGGATTGATCCATCAAGGTTTTTTTCTCTCAGAAGAAAGCGATAGTCCTCTCCACTCAGGCGATTTTCCAGAGCCATCCGGGGCCACAACATCATTCGCTGAACTGGACAGTCTGTTGGATTGAGTATCCATTCTTCTCCACCAAATTCCTTTACTTCTGCAAGAACGTAACATTTCGTTTTGTCAAGATGAAGTCTGTTTATAAGAGCGTCAATCACCTCAGCAGCTGTGGAGTTTTTTCTGGCAGGAATTGGACAGTAGATAGTCCCTTCTGAAATTGTCCCAGGATATATATGTAATGTATGTTCATTATCCTCAAAGCGTCGTCTTCCTCCATCATTTATATTCATATTGGACCCTGTCCCATCAGCATGGATAGTATGTGTTCGAGACCGTGCAAACCATTTTCGTGGCAAAAGAACTGTAACATAAAAAGTGTGAAACATTTACACAACATATTACACAATCTTCACTTTCTGATGCTCAAAAAGAAAGGCTTAAATCATTTCATTACATCTTTTAGAACATAAAATCCTAACTCTTAGTCTAGAAACAGTCTTGAAAACAGTCTCATCAAGACCACATATTACATTTTATTGTCCAAATCTGGACACTTTCTAAAACAGCAACTTGCCAAAGATTTTTTCCATGTTTTATTATACTAATAATTTAAAATCCAGAGTGCAAATAAAAATTATTTTGTCCTCCACTATCTCAAATGTTTCTGAAGTACCTGAGATTGTGGAGTCAAGTTCTTTCTTTATATATGAAGAGCCTCAGCAAAGCTGAATTAAAATGGGCAGAAGAATCATGCAAATTTAATCACTCTGCATCCAAAAGCTCTTATGAATAAAGAAACAAGAAAGAATGCCATCAATGAAGCCAAATTTTTGTGAAATTAAAAACAGTAAGAAGATGAAATTAACAACACAGGAAACAACAGGTGTTGACGAGGATGCAGAAAAAGAGGAACCCTGTTACATTATTGGTGGGAATGAAAACTGGAGCAGCCACTCTGTAAAACAGTATGGAAGTTCCTCAAAAAGTTAAAAATAGAACTACCTTATGATCCAGCACTACTAGCTATTTACCCAAAGGATACAAAAATACTAATCAAAGGGATACATGCACCCCAATTTTATAGCAACATTATTAACAATAGCCAAATTATGGAAAGAGCCCAAATGTCCATCGACTGATGAATGGATAAAAACAGGTGGTATGTATGTGTGTGTGTATAATGGAATATTATATATATATATATATATATATATATATATAATACATGTTATATTATATATATATAATTATATATATATCACATATTCCTATATATTCCATATATATCTATAATGGAATATTAGCCATAAAAAAGAATGAAATCTTGGGGCATCTCGGTGGCTCAGTCGGTTAAGTGTCCAACTCCTCATTTCGGCTCAGGTCATGATCTCAGGGTCCTGAGATCCAGCCCCGAGTCTGGCTCCCCACTCAGCAGGAAGTCTGCGTGAGATCCCCTCCATGTCCCTCTGCCCCTCCCCCCACTCATGCACACTCTCTAAAATAAATAAATAAATCTTTAAAAAAAAAAAAGGAATGAAATCTTGCCATTTACAACAACATGGATAGAGCTACAGAGTATTATGCTAAGTGAAATAAGTGAGCCAGAGAAAAACAAATACCACATGATTTCACTCATGTGGAATTTAAGAAACAAAACAAATGAACATGGAGGGGGGAAAGAGAGACAAACCAAGAAACAGACTCTTAACTATAGAGAACTTATGGTTACCAGAGGCAGGGGGGCGGGGGTTACTTAGGTGATGGGAATTAAGGAGGGCACTTGTGATGAACACTGGGTGTTGTATGTAAGTGTTGAACCACTAAAATCTACAACTGAAATGAAAGTTACACTGTATGTTAACTGAAATTTAAATAAAAACTTGAGGGAAAAAAACAGAAGATGAGATCAAATAAACAGAAAAACTAAACTAGGGGCGCCTGGGTGGCTCAGTTGGTTAAGCG